AAAAACCATAATGCTGGGGGAAAGAGCATTCAACGACTCAAGGCCAAGGCAGTCAGTGCGCCTGCGCGGTGGAGCAGGGTCTGAAACTCCGGAGGGCAATAGAAGTCTTGGGGATTTGAGAAGAGGGGTTGAGGAAGACAATTATGAGCCCAGGTGCGCAATGACTTCTTATTCTTATTGTGTGCAGCCAATTAACGGGCCATTTCACTTGTAGTACACCGACCAAAGGCAAAGCAAAGAAAGTCAATGGCCCTTTCACCGATGGTGGCAAACCCCCCATAACTACTGCGACGCGAGGAGAGTTTCTGAGCAGGTTAGCGAACATTACCAGTGGAGAGGGCCAACACTGTCTGGAGGAGCTCATTGTCCAGCTTGCAAAGTCTGATCCATTGTCAGATGACCATGTCAATCATCTCAATATACTACTACCTCGGAGATCGCATCTGCTGGACACCGTTTAATCTTATCAGGTTGCGTCCAGGATTTTCATATCCTTATGATGTATGCCCAATTCAGGCTGGCCCTTCACAAGTAAATGTCCGGCTTTCCTCCCCTTCAGCCTCTCTGAATAATTTCCAGCGACAAAACAGACCAGAAGACGTTGGGAATACTTCTGGGGGGCAAGTGCGACTGTACTGACATCAGCAAACCCGGGGTTGGCTACATAGTTAGGTCCCAATTACGTAGCGCTACATAGCGCTATGGAGTTTTCGTGATTCTATGGAGCGTTACATAGGCTACGTAGCACTACGTAATCGGGACCTAACTATAGGACAAACCCAGGGTTTGCTGATACTGTTCACTACTGGAAGGAAAGAGGCACACACACTTTGAATTTGGCCAGAGGCAGTGTGTTCTCACCATTTCATTTCATTACCTCCCTCTTTCACTGATGATAACTTTCCCATGTAGGCACATTTTATCTTCTCCTCATCATCGCTGCCTTGGGATTGAAAGATCTCGTTGTTGGTAAGGATATTATCAGTGGCGACATTAAGAGCGTCTCAGACACTCTCATTGATCTGATAGGTTTTTGTTTTATTTATTTTAACCTCCGCCTTCTAGCTGGAGCAATTTTCAGCTGGCGACTCTTGAAGCAATTGCTGTATTAAAATTATTATACCCCAAATCCAGTGATTGTACCATGATTCACGGCTAAGCCATGAGCAACAGAGATAAACCGGACACTTTGTACCCAAGTTCAAACAGCACATTGCATATCCACTTGATCTCTTTTCCAGCATCTACACCGGCAATGTATTCTGCCTCGGTGGTGGAGAGAGAGACAGTGGTTTGCAGCTTGCTTCGCCAGCTGACCGGTAAGTACCCGCCAGTGCTCTTTCCAGAATCCTTGCAACCACTATGGTTTGCATCGGTATAGGTAAGAAAAGAAGGGACTGAGGAAGAGGACTTGGAGTAGGTAGGATCATATAGTCAAGGGTGCCCTTGATGTAGCGCATTAGATGCTTTACAGCTTTCCAATGAGCTTCACCAGTATTGCCGTTGAAGCGGGCTGGAAGCTCTCAAGGCTAGCGGCATGGATGTCACTGCTGCTCTTCACTGTCTCTACAACCATGCTTCCTGTTGTGCTACTCGAGCATGTTTGTTATGTCCAGGTCCAGAGGGGAGATGAACAAGAGGCCGATGTAGTCCGAGTCGTCACCGTCACCTTCACCCAGTGCGCCCTCCTCCCTGCCTTCCACCTCAGAATCGAACTTCTCGGCGGCGATGAATTTCTCGGTGGACTTGATGGCGTAAAGATTGTGCAGAGTAAGGTTGCCACGGGCAACCTTGGCAAGGATCCCGGTAGCCTTGACTCGAGGAGCGGGCATGTGGTCGCTTTACAAAGTGTCCTCACGGGCGGCGGCCTCATCATCTGCCTCTCCAAGTGGCAAACCCTTCGCTAAACGATGGGCCTAAAAGACTCGACAAAAAACGCGGTTGCTATTGGGACCCAGGGATGTGCCATCAGCACCCTCGTCGAAATCGTCTAGCTGGAAACATTGGGTCAGTAATAATAAGACAAGAAAAAGAAATAAGAAAGGATATAGATAAAGGACTCAACAAAAGAGGGACCCACTGAGCCGGTTCGTCGTTCTGCCGATTAAAGTATGTAGAAGAACCCGGGAATATCCGTCTCAGAGGCGTCGACTTAGCGGTAGAACTCGTACGCGGTCTCAAACTCTGGAATGGGGTCCGAGAGCAAGTCCCCGTTGTAGTACCGCCAGATATACTGACGGGTGATGTGGGTACGGGCGGTGAGGCCTTGGACCACTGCGATTTGAAGGGTGTCCTCCATTGCTTCCTCATCATCACTGAAGTGTGAGAGGAACTGCTCCTTGTTGAACTGTCGGCGTGCCTTGAGGACTGTTTGCAGTACAATGAGCAGGCGAAAGTTGTGCTCAATTCGGGTGCGATGGTAGGAACGCTGAAGGTCATTGAGGATGTTTTGTGTGATGTTCAAGTTTTCAATGGATGCCTCCCAAGCTAAATAAATAAATAAAAATCAGCTACGGGAGAACCAAAAAGATAAAGAAATGAACAAGAAACATACGTCTGGAACCAAAGGCAGAGAATTTAGAGAACTGCTTAGCAACCGTTGGAGTGGCACTTGCGGCCGGAGCGCGAACACGAGATACAGCTAACACCGTCCTGTCAATGGCTGACGGTGAGTAAAGATATTAAAAAGGAATCAGAAAGGGACTTATGGTCGGGGCCTCAATCTGGAAAAACTGGCTCAAGGCAGACAGGCTGACTTTAGTACCGCCTTGGCCATCATCGGTCTTTGCGTGAGAAGAGAGTATGTCCATGATCTTCAGCATCCACTCGCAGTTGATATTGTGGTTACGAAAGAAATCTTTGACGCGTGTGGCGTGATCGAGACTAGCGTAAAGAAGCAAGTCAACCACAGGGTCAAAAGAAAAAGAGAAAGGGACTTATCTGTTTCTGAACGCGGACAACCATTGGCACGGCTCGTTGTCGGTTAATGAGGGCGCGGCGGCCTTGTTCAATCGGCCAGCCCTCCTTGCCACAAGAGTCCGTTGCGAGGATTTGGGGATAAGCAGCTGGGCGCGGTCCAAGCTTTACCGCAATAGGTGGCCCCTCGGCTGCAGGAACACTGATGACCAGAGGGCTGGAGAACTTGGCTTTCGAACTCCCTACCATAGGGGGGGCGGAGGCACTTGCGGCTGGTCCATCTAAAAAGATAAGACACAAGTTCAGTAGGAAAGAACTTGAGCAAAAAAAGAAAAAACACAAATTTGAAGGGTGGAGAAACCTAGAGAGAGAAATAGAGAGCTTGTGAAGGGTAAAGGAGCAGGAGAAGGTATGTACAGTATGGAAGACAAAAGAAATTGACACAGCATTACCGGATTTGGCCAGTATGTACGTACAACCGGGCCGACATCGGAAGGCGACAAGCCAGATGAGTCACGCTTTCACAATGGTAGCTAAAAGCTTAGTTACCCTTGGTGTGGCAAGAATGGAGAAAGCACACACCAAGAACTGGACAGTAAGCAGGTACAGGGTATAATAGGTTATACAAAATGTTGTTGTCAGGGCAACAATGGTCAAAAAATTATTGGAGGTTGAGGAAACCTGCAACTCTTAGAAACATGCAAGCGTTGGCTGAAATCTAGGCAAGAATGAGCACCATGTCCCACATGAATAAAAAGGACAGACTTCAAGGTATGTTGTAGTTGTATTAAACTCAAATTGGTGTAGGTTCAGAGTGGACAGCAAAACAATCTTACAGATGTAGAAGTGTGTAGGCACCCACTCGGTCAGTCTAAACAGTGTTACTGGTACAAGACCTCAGCCTTCAGAGTGTAACACCACAGGGCACACAGAGACATTATAGAGTGCATACACCATCCCAACAAAGTCACTAGAGCTGCTGAGAAGGAGGCCCCCATAGACTGGTAAATACTGGCCCATGAGGTCTATAGGCATTGGAATTGTGCACCCTCAGTTGTCACCAGGTTAAAAGGTACCTAGGAGAGGTAAGGAGCAGTAAATTGAGGAAGAAAAAGGGAGGGAGTACTAGAAGATGGTTGTGGTTTGGGACAAAGGTGGCTCTGGCTGTTTGGTTTCCTTTGGTTTCTTAAATATGGAGACTCTCAAGACAGTGCAGAAATTCGATGCCATCAGGGTTTTGGTCCATCAACACTCAGTTGGTGCATGTAGATGTCTTGTCGTTTGAAACTAAAGTTTAAAATACTTTGCAGGCAGGATACTGTTTGAACCAAATTCAAGTTCGCAAGGAAAGTCATGATTAGCTAACACATACCATGACAAGACACATTCTGTTTAGCTTCAAATTTCTCTATTACTCCCATGTCTGCTCAGAGCATACAAACTCTCATCACTACTGCTCTCAATGCTCTCAAAAACATAAAGATAACTACTCAAATTACTCCCAGGATTGTGAAGCTGCAGGTGTTAGAGAAACCGTCTGAGAAAGTGACACTCGAGGCCTATTGGTCAGACGGGCACAAGGCCGCCAAAAACATAATCTTGCTAGAACTATTCAGAGTAATCCCTCAAACATCCAAATAGTGACTCTCCTAGAGGTCTGTCATGGCTTCCACACTGAAATTTAGGTTCTCATAGCTGGCATTTCTAGTCTATGCCTGACGGTGGTGGAGAGACTGGAGGACAGCAAAGATTCCCAAGATCCTGGAGTGTTCTGTGCTGCCATCAGGATGATCAGGATCACATCCAACAACGAACACCATTCTGTTCTCATAGTTGCAAGGCATATTCACTGCCATTGAGCAGGTCTGCACTGAGATGTATGTGAATTCCATTTCGTTTAAACTTACAGATCCTTTTGCATTTCAGTAAGGCATTGAGCCCGGCCCTAGCTCCAGAACCCGTCCCAGACCAAGAAGTGATTTTGTTAGCTCATGCCTTCCACAAAATGCTGTAAGTTTATTCAATTCTAGCCATTTCATCTTTCTATCTGTGAATAGTCCCAGAGGTGTTGTTGCACAAAAGAATGGTTAGACTGAGAATCAAACTCAGGACCTTCTCATATCATGTGAGATGCTCTAACCTGAAGGTTACCCACTGAGCTATCCAGCCAACAGGGGTGAAGGGAACTCCTAGAAGGACCTTCAACATAAGATACTGATTAATACCAGGACAATAAGAGTGATACGGCTGATCATGAGAACAAGAGATGACTGTCCAAACCAAACTATGTGAAACACCAGAGTTCAACACTATCTGTGATTTCTGTTGGGATCATCTACTACTCTCATACTCCAGATCCTATATGATCCTATTCATAATCCTTATGATCCTAGTTGATACTTAAAGGAGGATATGCTTTCCCATGTGGTTCTGACGATCTGGACCAGTGACCGTCTTTTTGCAGATTTTGCATGAGTGGCGGCCGTCTTTCATGGCCAGCGGTGAGATGGTTGGGCAACGGCATGGGGCGAATGCTAGGGCAATAGAGAGCTCACGAAGTACTCAACATAAACCACTCAACACAACACACACACAACAACACTAGGTTATCGCTCCAAAACATTCCTATTGAATTCGGGTCTACGTCGTAGTATGCCACTAAGATTGGACTTTCAATGTGAATCTTTGTGGGGTTTTTGTATAGTTTGAAGGAGACTTCAGAGACAAAGCTTGTCCTGAATGCAACGCAACAGCAGTAAATGCTAGTCCGTGCAAATGCCAACGTGAACCGTGTTCTATCAAGGGGGGAACCTTATAGTTAAATAAGGGTCAACCTAAGGGTGGCGTGTAGGCTCCTCAGGGGCAGGTTTGCAAGATATAGTTTGTCCAAGAAATGGCCCCTCCCACGGATTGCCGCAGATAGCAAGGAGTAGTGTTGCAAGGTACAAGTTTCCAACTCTTCAGAACACTGCTGGGGTCTGCCTTTAGATCCAACAGAGGACTGCGTGTTTAGCACAGGACATTTCTTAATTTATACGTGAACATCAATTGCGAGCAAACAACGTCAAACTTAGGAAGCTTAGATTCACACAAAGGGTTTATCCAGCCGACTGAATCCGAATTTATAGAATGACACTAATCAGAGATGTAATGAACACAAATCTCCGTGGAGCCGACCTGAGAACACTCTTCTCCCTTCAGGACCAGCGCGGACCTCTCGGTCGGGGCTATCCAGTATACAGGAAGGGGGGAATGAACTCGTGAGAACACTCTACCAACCTTCAACAGACCATGGCCGAAGCCTAGGATGTTTTGGGGGAGGCAGAATGCACTGTCTGAACCACGTTCTTTACAGGGTTTTTATATTACTTCGAGAATATACATACAGTAAACAGATATGAGTAAAATAAACAGTCATTGTTCATGCGGCAGGCACGGAAACGCTTGCCGGGTCCATTCGTAGTTGATGGCCGATTGAGGAAGTCAGCTTGAATGACTTTCCTGGCCGTTTTGGGTATATTTGCATTTCCGCCGGAAACGTCATCCTTCCGCCGGAAAGCCGCACACACAAATTGCGCCGGCCTGGTTGCTAATCCAGCCCTTTCAGTTATTCAGTAGTTCCACTGAGATCATGTGAGGAGTCTAGACTCTAAAACCTCTATCTCGACCAGCCCAGTCCCTGCATCCCAGACCGGACCATTGGATAGGGAGAAATGATCTGCCGACATGCTGAATCAAGTCTTGGCGACACTACCATACTTGGTAGTAGTAGAGTGTTCGATCCTGGGTGCGCTCCACCCATTAAATGACTTGTTTTGCCTGTCTGAAGGTTTGTGCCGGAAACTGGGTTTTGGCCTCACACCGTCTCCCAATGTCTTCTACTCATTTCTAAGGCTCAACCAACCCTCCTGGGTACCCTGAGTCCCTTTAGACATGCAGTCTTTGGTGCTCTTAGTAGATTACACCCTTCCTTTGGCTAGCTGGGGCGGCCATTCTCTTTGGTGGTTCAACTATCTGTTCCCAGCACAGCAGTTTACAGTCAACAGTTCAGAGCTCACTTTGACTCTCTTATGTATCACTGAGCAGGGTTCCTGGGCTCTGGTTGCAGTGCGAACCGTTTGCGCCGGAAACGACTGGTTGCTTATAAGTCTTGTTTAAGGACTTAAAAACACAAAAATCGCAAAATTATGACCCTGGGTCGTCTCAGCGGTGTCACAGAGTTAAAGCAATATGAAATCTGTTTCATTGTCTTTATTATGGCCATGTTTTGGGCAATAAGCCAATCTGCACCTGGATAAGAACACGCTAAGGCTTACTGTCGGAGATTGTGGCTTCATATGGATACCTACCATCCTTCGTGACACCGTAACCCAGTATTTTCTTCATGTACACTTCGTTGTCCTGTACCCTGCTGATGAGTTCAGCACCGAAAGTCTCCAGCCGCAAGTTTGGAAATATCCAGGTCGTCTCAAATTTGGTGTCTGGGATCATTGGTACATTCAAGATAGGTGACGCATATGGGCAGGTGCATCAGTGCTGGCAGTCTGCTTTGCCTTTGCCAACTCAAACACCACAAATTAGGTTGCCTACGCCCAGCAAATATCACCTGAGGAAGTCTTTGACTTGTTGAATGGGACCACAGATAAGATCTGTCTGGATACTTTGTACTGAGTGTCAGGAAGGGAGATTTCTGCAATGGGAGCTGTGTCCAGGTATGTTATAGGACTCATGTTAAGGATTTTGATGCCAGTGCATTGGAGGATGGCCAACAATACCTTGAATATAGTAGAACCTTGATTAAAGCATATCAAGGTCGCAAATAAGCCTTGAATCTTGGGCAAGTGAGTACTGGCAGTAGATTTAGAATAAATCGTGGAGGACATCTGATCCCAACTGTCCCCGCCAACAGAAAAATACCCCATACAGAATAGGCGGTCATTGCTCCTTCTGTCATCAATGTCGAAGGTCGGGTTCATGAGTGTTCATATGATGGTCTTTTTGCCTTCTTTTGACCATCAGCATTACAGTAATCCGGATACTATGGGGAGCTGCATCTGCTGAGTCGACACAATATTTCTCGCTACAAGAGCTACTCGCCCATCAAATGCAAGGATATCCACGGGAACTAGACTGTCATTATCGTAGACCGTGTCCGACTTGACTCATCTACTAACAATCAGTCTACTTCCTCGGATACTCTGGGGCATTTTCTGCCGTGTGGTCATATTAGCTCAAAGTTGTCCAGTACAAAGTGAGCAGTAAAGCCTATATCGCACCCGTAAGTGGCAAGAGTGCCTCTCGCTTGGGCAATACCGGTAACATAGCAAAGGTCAATCTTGTATGACTCTACCACTATCTCCCCTTCTCATTGGGGAGGCGAAAGATGATCAATGTCACGGCTCTGAACCAATTTGAGATATCGGGTGTGCCATTCAAGATACAGATATTTCTGGAAGATCCTGTCCATGGACAAGGCCTAGGAAAGGTGGTGGCGTAGCCTGTCAATTGCCATGTTTGGAGAATGTCTTCTGATCATTCTTAACCATCACCCAGAAGGCAGAGGAAGACCTTAGTTTGGGATTGAGGAGCTTGGAGTGCACAATTTTAATAATCACATTTCTCACCATGCACTGAAGGTCACTATAGAGCTGGTTGGACACAAACACAGCTTCGTGTTTCACAAACATTGTGCCCACAATGTGGGCAAATGTGTTAGAACAGGCAGCACAGAGGTCCGGGTCAACAGTAAGAAACTGAGGACCTAGGACAATGCTAGGCTACTTATATAGCTACTGGAACGATAGAGACGGTAGAACAATAATAAGAAGGACAGAGATAATAAGATCTTTACTACTACAATAAGATCACTATCTAAAAATCTAAACAAGAAGAATAATAGAGACAATAACATGAATGTTGTCAACACAATAAGATATGTATCATATAGGATCAGGAGCATGAGACTAGTAGAGTCTAACCACTGATCCCAACAAAATGTGACCAGACTTGTTATCTGTTCGGAAAGGGAAAGTTTCGGGCTGATGAAGGGTTCCACAAGTACATTAAACATGTTCCCGAGCAGGCAAATGGCACAGTAAGTGTGTCTCTCAGATGGATCCAGCTCGGACACGTCAAGGCGGTGCAAGTCGGTAACAAGACAGAACAGCTTTACAGCCCGGGGACATGATTGCTGATATGCAAGAAGGCCTCGTAGCAGTTATCTGTACAGAATCTGCAGAAGCTCACGTAGGCCTGGAAGAAATCTCTCTTCGGAGAAGCAAAACACGGGCCACTGGACACAATAGCATCTGCCGGTGACCCAACATGGAAAGCTGCACTTTATTTGGCTTGTATGTATTGGTGCTTAGGGTCAATGACTGTTATGGCTGGGTTCAGGGGAGCTGGATAGGGCCCAGGCAACTGGTCTGAGGGAAGCAAGAGTCGGGTCAGGAACCATGAGACATGTCGGGAAGTATCGGACCAACGGCAAGGGAGGACACAACATCACTGAGGTGTAGGGTGAGTGTATACTGCTAGGAGTCCAAGGGGAGAGACGTCGGGGAGTCGGAGAGTCGGATTGCAGACCGTCACACTTCGGGAGGCAAAGCAATGTTTATTAATAAACTGAGGTACAGGAAGTAAGGTAGGGTATTAAATAGTGAATGGGTAATGTAACGAGGTTCCTGCGTCAAGCGATATCAGTGACATCAATCAACACAAGGCTGAACTATGGACAAGGTAGAGTCCAAAATAGGAAGGACCTAGAAGCTGAAGACATATGAATGCTCAGAGAAGAACAGTCAGAAGATGGGTGAGCATATGGTATAGTGAAACATGAGGCAGACATGAGGCAAACACAAGGCAAACCATATTGAACATGAGACGAGCACTTGGCCGAGCAAAGTAAGTCAGAGCCGGATAAACGGGAAACACTCAGTGATTCTTCATCGCGTGACACAGGGGGCAAACATGCCTGCACTTGTCATCGGCGCATCTGACAGGCATGCGCTGGCGCATGCGTAACATCTTCGCTGTGTCTTTGCCATTAAGCTTAGATAATCAAAATCCTCCTTGACGTGGGTTCAATTCTGCTGAATGCCATCTTTTCAGCTTCAACCCTAATGTGTTCAAGCCACAAATCTAGAGAACTTCAGGTCAGAAAAGATGGC